CAGTGATTTTCTTGTTTATTACTATGTTATGCATCATATGAGTATGGTATTATTAGTAGTGTAGTGGTGAGGTTGACTCAGAGAAAAGGCCGCCAAATGGAATAATATTTGAAAAAACTGGAGATTTCTAAGATACACCCTCTTGACAAGGAAATTTTGCAATTATATATCATTATATGTCAACTGTGTGCACATTATTTATGTCAGTACTATTTAAAATTATACATACATTTTTTCTTATTACTACTGAAAGAATATTTTCAATAAAAGCAAAATTTCCAACTTAAACTGGGTACAGAGATTGGGAGTTTCTGCATAATAAAAATCAACACATTATCGGCTAGTAGAAAATATAGATCCTGTTTGTCTCAAGGGCCGTTGGTTGAATAACATATAATATTTTCAATGACATCAAAATCACATTTTGGAGATAATTTGTTATGGTTGGCTTTCTTTCTCCACATGAATTTTCCACCAATTAATAAAACGAGATCTAAATTTGGAATTAGACAGATTAAACATTAAAGGCAATCAAAAACATGGACAGATTAAAGGCAATAGAAAACATGGTTAATTTCAGCCGTTATTACCATTTTTTTTTTTTATTTTTTCAGTAGACTGACAAACAATCAAACACATCACATATACCGACACGAATGAACCATAGAGGAACACATATTTATACAAACACACATACGGTATACCCACACGGATAAACCAGTGAACGAACACACATCCCCACAGATAAACTATTAGATTAATAGACAATTTAATAGACACACAGTGACATCCCCACAGATAAACTATTAGATTAACAAACGTATGCCCCAAAATATGTAAAAGTTCAATCCATTCATACAATGATGTGGTAGAGGTCAAATTTATACTTATATAATAAGAATTAACATTTATCTAAAATAGTAGGTCAAATTATGGTCAATGTCGGATATGCATTAAATATTTTCTAAAACTGGTAAGTTTTTGTCCTTTTCACACTTCTCATTAATTATGTCATTTTCACACATCTAATTAATTCATTAATTACGACATAATTATCATAAATCATTCCATCTAAGTTTTTTTTATCGTTAAAATGTATAGCGATCTGTTATGATTTTATCCCATTGATATTTCATGAAACGTCCTTATCGCGTTCTATTTTTTGGTAACCACTCTATATCAATAACTGGATATTTGGTTAATGATAGCACACGTCTTTATTTCAAGGAGCGGATATTCTTTGACCTTTAATTAATCTGAACTGATTGTCTTGACTTTTCAATTTTTAAAAACTTTTTTTTTTAAATATTTCGGCTTAAGATTCGGATTTCATTATACAAGTCATCGGATTGTTTGAATGAAAATGAATGAAAAGAACACCAAAAACAGGCAGCCTTATTCATATAACCAATCCTAAAATATTAGTTTGTTCACCAAAAAGAGACAAATCCTAGAAATCCTAAAATATTAGTTTGTTCACCAATCCTAAAATATTAGTTTGTTCACCAAAAATATTAGTCTGATTTTTAAGATTTGTCTCTTTTGAAATATTAGTTTGTGATAATGAGGAGTTACCAAATAATCAAACTCATAATGTTGTGTACAAGGATATTTTTAATAATATATGATTATTACCGAATTTTTTATGATTCAACAATATTCCTATGTATTTTAATGATTTCAATTTCGATCCTAATGCACGTGAAGTTATATTATTCTTTCAAATTTTACATCCCATGCATCGCACGGGTTACGTACTAGTGAACCCAAAAACAAAAACATGAGTGTGCTTGAATACAATATATCCGTCAAATAGATCTTTTTCTGTTAACTAAAATTGAATTTAAAATAAAATTAAATTGAAAATATGATTAATTTTTAGTAAGATTTGGAGTTAATATATAAAATAATATTTAAAATAAAATAACTAAAAATTAATTTATATAAAATTAAAAAAAATGATGTAAATAATTATTAGTTAATTTATGTGACTAAATGAATAGCAAATTAAAGTTGATATAGAGTGTAAAGATTATTGAGTGATATTATTAACTTACATTAATCATATTATGTAAAATTGAATTATATTCTAGGTATCAACTAAGTTTATTTATAAACAAAACACATCCTTAAAAAAACCCAGTACATGTTTACATCATTAGCACACCACCACCAACACACACATCACACACACACTACAAACATCAACACCATTCACAAACACACACACACTACAAATATCAACACCATTCACGAACAGAACTCTACTTAATCTCCACATCAATCACCTTCTTCTCAACCTTTCCCTTAGGTACATACACATAAAGCACCCCATTATTCATCTCAGCCCTCACCTTATCCTTCAAGCACTCGTCCGGGAGACTCAGCCTCGTCCCATATGAGCTGTACGACTCTTCCTCTTCTTGACCTCCGCCTTTATGGCTTTTGCATTCGCCCTTTATGACGAGAACATCATCATCTTCAACCGAGACCCGAACATCCTCCTTGGAAAGTCCCGGCATGTCGATACGAATCTTGATTTCGTTATCATCTTCTGTTATGTCCCAAGGGGCTCGTTTTTTGTTTGTCCTAGCTGGCGATGTCCCGGGAAATATGGTTAAGTCGTCGAGCATTTGGTCCACAGTGTCGAGCATTTGGCGCACGGACAATATGGGAGATAGTGTGTCCAGCAAGTCTACAATCACAAGTAAATGTTCACGAATTTGGAGACTAGAAAACTTTAAAAGGCAAAATTGCATATTAATACACCACCTTCTATGCTTTTGCAATTTAATCATCACCTTTACAATTTTGCAAATTAATACACCCCCTTTACCATTTTTGCAAATCGATACATGAATGACGGTTCCATTAACATGGCAAATGCCATGTCAGATTTTCGTTAGATTTTTTTAACGAACATGTATCGATTCGCAAAAATGGTAAATGTGGTGTGTGTTAATTTGCAAAATTTTTAAAAGTGGTGATTAAGTTGCAAAAACATGAAAGGTGGTGTGCAATTTTGCCAGTTTAAAAAAGACAAAATAGTGAAGGAAAGAACCAAAGATAAATTTTAGCAAAAGAACCATATAACTTCATGAATTTGGCTTTGTATAGCTATAAGGCTAAAGTATTGGGGTTTTCAAGATGAGCCATGAGCAATGTGTCTAGCAAGTCTACTATCACAAGTAAATATTCATGAATTTGGAGACTATAAAGTTTAGGGAGACAAAATAGTGAAGGAAAGTTTAAATGCTTGTCTTGATAAATTAGCAAAAGAACCAGAGATAAACTTCATGAATTTAGCTTTGTATAGCTATAAGGCTAAAGTAACGAGGTTTTCGAGATGAGCCATGATCAAAATTGAGCTGAACCTGATTTTTTTTCACCTCAATCACACAATTTGGCAGAGTTCAGTTTGGTTATATTAGTAGTATTCTATTATTTTTTTCCCCCAAATTTGGCTTTCAGTGCTTGTCTTGGTGAATTAGAAAAAGAACCAAAGCTACTTCACAAAATTAGCTTTGTATAGCTACAAGGGTAAAGTACTGGGGTTTTCAAGATGAGGCGTGAGCAAAATCGAGCCGAATTTGAAAACTAAACCTGAATCATACGAGCAGTTCAGTTTGGTTATTTTAGTATAATTCGATTCTTTTTTCCCCTAAATTTTGTTTATGGTTGTTTCAGTTTAGTACTGTTTTGTAACAGAAACGAACCAAAATAAATACAAGTGTATGGAAAAATCAAGAGGAAACCGAAAATCTGAGCTGAAACGAACTACACTAAATAAAAATGTACAGGAAAACCAATAGAAACCCTAATTAACTAGCCGACTCAATTCGGTTCGGTACGGTTAAAAAAATGACCGTAGAAAACCTTCGATCAGATTTCAGTTTGATTTTTTTCTAAACTCGAAAGGTAAAGTTAAAACTTGTATACTCACCAAAAGGAGAGTCATCGAGCGCCAACCTCCGAAGCCGCCGACCGGCAGCGGGGCCCTGATTTTCACCGCTCTGACCTCCGCTGACGTGGTGGATGTCCACCGCCGAATCCTTGTTTTCACCGGCGGCCTGAGCTCTGACTACAGGAAATGGCCTCCGACTCGATCCCAAGTTACCGGCGGAAGGGGAAAAAACGGCGCAAGGCCCGACGGGAGCCCGATTTTTAGCTCCAACAACATTTTTGGGCGTGAAGGTATTGCAGACTAAGGTTTTAGCCGCCATTGATCAGTTGATTGATCAGAGGAAATTACGAGGAGCAAAAAAAAACAGAGAAATTGAGGCGTGTATCAGGTTATTGTGTGCAGAAATTGGTCTGTGGGGGAATTTGCGTTGGGGGGTTTATATAAAGGAAGTGAAGATAAGAATGTTGGGGATAATTCGTGAAAGTTTGAGTTATAAAGAGAAAGTAAATAAATAAGAATCGTCGACGATGTTCTTGGATGTTCGTTCATTTTCCGTACGTCTTGTATCGTTTTGACATTTTCTATATGACGGGCCAACATTGATTGGGCCTGCTAAGTATTACAAGCTGAGCGAAATATTGTCAGGCCCAGTGTATGGTCCAGTATACTCGCAATATTACTCGACCAATTTTTTTCTACAGCACTCTTAAATTCGCCACACTCGTATTATATACTACATGAAATTTTGTACATACTACATGAAAATAAACAAATTTCGAATTTACCATTAAATAACAAATAATTTGGTATATACCTAATAGACCAAAAATAATTACGTCAATGCCTAAAAATCAGTTACCCATTGTAAATATCATCCATTCCATATCTTGGGCGTGCTTTCCGCAATTTTAATAGGAAAATAGAGAGAGATAAAAACATGTATTGTAATTCACGCAACTATCCAGTTGGGTATATGTTGCATTTATGTTAGTATATTTTCAGTATATGTTGCAATGAAAAACACGTATTCCATAAAAAAAAAAATATGTCTTTTTTTTTTTTAATTTTATAAATAAAAGTATATATATAGTTTATAAACATATCCTAACAGGTTAGTTATATTCCCTATACCAACAAATCTTCTGATATACTGAATATATACTCCGTATACACACAACATAAATTGAACAGCTTACAAAAAAATCTTCTAATATACTGAACATATACTCTCTATACACCCCACATATACAGTCTGTGTGCAACATATACTGATGTGAACATATATTGCATCCCTATACATGTAATATATGCTGCCCTGAACATATACTGTAGATATACTGAACATATACTCTAATCCGAAATCTGCGAATTTCAACGTACTAAATGATCTATACACACAGTCCAATACCCTAAAAAATTGAAGCAGAATTCAATTTCCTGCAACCAACCAATCATCTCCCCCCGATCATGGCGATGCCAAAACCCTCTTTAGAGGACGCCGCGATAATTGAGGAAATCATCTTCCAGAAGATATTCCTCTTCTCTCTCGTTGAAGGAGACGTACTTGCGGAGAAGCCGTGGGACAAGGCATGGCAGCGGGCCTCGTCGCGAATGTTCCCGTCCGTGTGGCGGTGGTGCTTGACCGAGGCGAAGGCGGATGAGGCGGCGGAAGGGGGATCAGAGGAGGTGGCGGTGGCGCGAACGGTGAGGGCAGCGCGAGATGGAGCTGCATCTTCAAAAACACAACCACAGGGATCGAAAAAGAAGCAACCGCATCCAGTGATGCCTTCCTAACAATCAAATTATTTGCTACCAATAAAAGAAAAATTATTTGTTATGGGAATTAAAAAAAAAAAATCATTTACAAGGGTTGAGAGGACTGTCAAAGAAGAAGAAGAAGAAAGAGGAGAGATGAGAAGAAAAATAAATTCTTTATTAATAAGAAATAAATTTTGTCCAATTTATCGTAAAGATATATGATCAGTTAAAGAAATTGGTTGAGTAACGTTCCATGATATCCGTCCTTAGCTAACCAACCCAAATTCAAGTTTCTAGCATATTTGAAAATAAAAGTAACACTTTCAGCAATTTTACAATTATTTATATATTAGATGTATTTTTGCAAATAAAATGGAATAATAAAGTGGAGGATGTAATTTTCTCTACTTTATATACGTGTAAAGTTTCTGCAATTATATTTAGTCATGGTGTAATAAGATGCGGAGAGGATATATAGATTTTTAAAAAACTTAATAAACTGGAAGCAAAGAGTGATGAATTTTGTTTTGGGAACATTTTACTAATTTCTTAACTATTAGGATATGTAGTTTGGATCTACTAAATAAGAAAATTCTTATATAAATAGTCGATGAGTAAATCGAAGTTTAATCCTCCAAATCAATGCAGGTATTCATCTTAAATAACAATATCACAAAACCTCATGTTTCATCTATATAGAACACATGTACAACTTAAATGCAAATTTAATAACATGTCAAATAGAAGTTTTAGATAAACACTCAAATAGAACTGTAAACACAATAATTCAGTATACTATTCCTAAGCTTTTGATATATAACTTTTCAAAACTTTGAATTGGTTTTTCAACAAATCTTGTCAAATTCATTTTAGATCTCTTACATGCACGTTTTGAATCTATCAAATGGTGTACGGCATAATCTATATATATATATATATATATATATATAATTACTAGCTCATGCATTTAATAAAACCTATTTTCATTTCCCTTCAAAAGGAGTTATATTTTTTAATTAATTACTCACTAATCTGCTAAAACCAATACAGTTAATATATATATTTTATTATTTATTTTTTGGATCAGTTACTAAATTAATTCTAAATTTAGTAGCAAAATATTCAAATGTGTAACGACTAATGTTGGAACTTAAAGTTGATTGGCACATTCAGAGCTGTAACCGTTAAATTTGATTGCATTGTTGGAAGAAAAATATGATTGACACATTTTTTTTTTCTCTAAAAATCAGAAACACCAATAATTTTTTTATTTATATTAATTTTCTTAATATATGCCACAAATATTTACATTATTTTATTCATGTTACTAATGTAAACGTTGTATGGTTAAAATAAAATTTAAATCTCAATTAATTTTGAATGATAAAATTAACTTATGAAAAAGTTAATTTTTATATGATAGAAGTACATGTCTAATTAATAAATACAAACAAAACGTATTTTATATCTGTGCAAATGCACATGATCAAATATTAGTTATAATATAAATATTATAACTATTATTATAAACAAATGAATCATGTTTTAATTAATGGAAATTTTAGGTGTAATTTAAATAGACAGCATAAAGTGTAGTGGTTTCCTTTGGGGTGGTAGCTTTCAATTCAGAAAACCAATCAAATAAAATTCAGAAGTGGTCCATATTGGGTATTATTTCACTTGTCCCTTCTTTGCTCTATCGACCTTTAGATAATTCCAATTATTTCATCAACTTGCATTTAGATTGGATTTTAAATGGAGGTGGTGGCCAGTTGGACGTGTATGCAATATCAATACAAATAAAATTTCAATATTATCCCTAAGTATTATAAAATTCCAATATATCCACAGTATGATCCTTTTAAAGATGCGTGCAAACCATAGCTGATTCTATGGACGGACAACCAACAGCAACTTCTAGTAATTGCTTGTATCAACCGATTGTATTAGAGTTTGTAAAATGTTTTTTGGTAAATAGTATTTATATAGTCATTATAAAAATTTTATATTAATATATCATCATCTATTCTCAAAATGCTCTAGTACTATCAAACAAGATATTTACCAAACAAACTAATCCTCAATTTTGAGGAGATAATTTTTTAAATGATGTTCAATGCTAATTTTATATAAATTCAGTAACATCCAAACAAGTCAATGGATTATTTTAAAGTAGTCTCCAAATTTATATTTAGTTAGTAAATTAGAATGATCCTTATACAATAAAAGATGTATTTTGTATAGGAAATTACAGTTGTCCAAACACTCTTTTGGTTGTTGCATAGCCGTGTCCCATTCTTCTTCTTTTCATATGCCTTAATCATGCTTCTTTAATTCACTACATTTATTTATGTAACATTTTTGGTATAAATATTAGAATTTATTGACTTGGTTTTTTAATCAAGTTCACTAATAGTGGTTAGTTTTCTGTTTTCTTTAAATATTATTGTACTTTGAATAAAATGATAAATAGGTACCACCCATCAACTAACTTGGCCCCAATATGAACTTCAATTGGTAGTATTTGACTATTTTCAATTTCAATTCAAATTGCCAAAGTGCCAAAGTTTAAATGCACCATATTTTTCAGGTAGATAGATTTATTAAATTTATCATATCTTATCTTAGGCACCTTAAAATAAAATAAAAAATTATCATATAAAAAGAATCATTATTGAATCTACGATAATTCAAGTATTAGATAGATTTAATAGATTGAAACAACAAATTTTCTAAATAAATTAATATATTTTCATATTCAAATGTTATATATAAACTAAATAAAAATACTACTATACTAGTAGTAATATTTTACATCTTAAACATAATTTTTTTTTCAATAAATTTGATCGGTGGACTCAGCTTCTTTAAGCATGGTCAACCATACAATTTATGAATAATTCTATGGGCGACGCACAGATGACAATAACTACACAATTTACAAAACAATAAAGTATAAATATTTCATTCCCAAGACAAATAAAATAGTCCTAAAAAATACAAAATAATTTCTATTCCCAACACAAATTAAATAGTACCTAAAAAAATTTCTCTCTGTGAGTACTATTATCCACTGCGAATGTTGGAAGCATGGAAGCATACAAGTGGCCGATTAATGGCGNCATCTCATTTAATTCCCAACATTTTTACATTATCTTCCCATTTTTCTCCTTTGGAAAAAAGTATTTTTCCCTAAAAAAAAATGCAATTTCCATTTAAAAGAAGAGTGCTCTGTAGAGAAGGAGAAGTAGAGAGCTTAACCAGAGCATAAAAAGACCATAAACCGCCATTTTCATCATCATCGTCATCACTCATCAGTACCAAACGGTAGCAGTATCAGCTTGATGAAGGCCCCTCCCCAGATCTCGACGGAAAACAATCTGGGCTGCCCCTTTGGCGATCCCAACGGCGGAGCTAACGAGGCGATGGCGCCGGCGGACCTAATGCACCGCCGTGAATACCGCCACTTATCTCCGCCGCCGCAGCTATCGAGCCTCGGAGCTCAAAATCCTGCAAATAGCTCGCAGCCCCTTGCTATTTTCAATTCGTGCTCGGCCGAACCCTACAAATCCACAGGTAATCCAATGTTTGCCCCCTTTTTTTTATGAATACGTAAGTGAATTAGGTTTATTTATTTATTTTATTTTACATTTCGTTTGTTTCTGCAAGTAGTGTGGTGGGAAAGAGATGACGACTGAGCTCAGATTTAATCATCTTTTATACCTTAATTTTGTTCCCTCCTTTTTGTTCTGTTTTGTG